ACATATCGGTATACAGCGACATGTCCAAGCCGAAGAGGGCGACGTGGAGATTTGTTTAACGGCAAAACTGCAAAACTCAAATTCATCTGCAAACAAGGTTGACGTTGCGGCTTCTTCGAAGCTACAGGAGACGACGCTTTCCAAGAACTATCAGGGGGCTTTACCGTGGACCCTTAAGGTTGTACCCTTGGGTTTTGGGGACCCTTTTTAAAGATCCTTAAGGTAGTACCAGGGCCATATTAGGAGTACGTATTTTAAGGGGAACCTTTAAGGGTAAACATAAATAAACTATTTTACTTCGAACATCCCCACCTTGCTCCTCGTTAAATGCAAATAAGATGTTCGAACAAAGACACATTGATTCAAATGGGCTTTCTTAGTTTTTGCTTGCCATTGGGGTTGGGCACTCCAGGGAGTCTCTGGGGTTGGCCGTTGGGCACTCCAGGGAGTCTCTGGGTTGGGCAGGGAGTTTCTGGGGGTCTCTGGGTTTGGGCACTCCGGGATCTTCTGGGGTTGGGCACTCCAGCGTTTATAGGGGATTTCGGCACTCGGCACTTCAGGGGCAAGCACTCCAGGGAGACCCAGGGAGACTCTGGGTTGGGCACTGTTGGGCACTCCAAAAGAGACTCTGGGATTGGGCAGTCCAGGGAGGTTCTGGGATTGGGCACTTCAGGAGTCAGGGAAACTCTGTCAGCAATTCTCGGGGTTGGGCAGGGAGACTCTGGGGTTGGGCACTCAGGAGTCTCTGAGTTGGGCAGGTTGGGCACTCCAGGGAGGCCCACCTGGGGTTGGGCACTCCCTGTCTGGATTTAACATTTCAGAAATCTTTGGGGTTGGGCACTCCAGGGAGTCTCTAGGAGTAGACCGGGCGAGGAGAAGACTGCGGAATAAATAAATACAAATATAAATATATGTAAAACCATAGGGGTACGAGTCTTAACCCCTTGAAACTAAGCTTGCGGCGGCAATGCTACCTAACCATATTCTGCCAACGCCTTGTAAGCTGCAAATCCCCTTTCCACAAAGGGGCGCATTGGGAAATGCTTATCTACGCAGTCCATGCCTTAACCTTCATCATGAGCAGCTGACCCGAAACCCCTCACCCTAAATCCCAAAGGTTTGGGGTGATCCCTAGACCCCTAAATTCCCTAAACCCCCAAACCCCCAAACCCCCAAACCCCCAAACCCCTAAACCCCAAAACCCCTAAACCCCGAAACCCCGAAACCCCTAAACCCCTATAAACCCTAAACCCGAACCTCTGATTCCATTGCGCTGCCCACCTGCTGCACCACGTTCTGTTGCAAGACCAGGTTTGGTGAGTGACTTGGATCCTCGGTCCGGCTCCAGGCTGCACACTTCATGATTCATACAGGGGTTTGGGGTTCAGATGGGAGATGGGTTTAGGGTTTAGGGTTTAGGGTTTAGGGTTTAGGGCTTAGGGTTTAGGGTGGGAGAAGGATTGGGTGCAAGGGCCGTCTCCCGCCGAGATGCCCGCGACACCTGAAATGAGCCACCATAGTCCGCAAAGTAGCCGGGCGTTTCCTCAGCGAGTGTCCCAACAAACTCCCGACCCGAAACCTGGTAGGGCCGATTCCTAAGGCCCCCCCTAAACCCTAAACCCTAAACCCTAAACCCTGAACCACTGGGGGCCAACAAGAAACGAACCCCTGGAGGATGATCTTGCAGTCTGCAGGAGTTTTGCGCCTGATTTGCTGAGAAGAAAGTGTTCATAAGCCAGCGTTGACCCAGTGACTTCACGATTGCATCAAGCATTCTGCGTCAGAGCCGACCAAGGCGAATGAAACAACAAGACGCGATCTCCTCGCCATTGTTTTTGGTTGCCACACCGGCTGTCGGCATTCTTTGGGAGATTCTCGCTATGTTACCTTAACATGCACTCGTACTGCCTCGACGTTCAAGCCATAACGCCAATAGCACTGTCGTTGCTGCACAAACAGGAAAAACTACAACATCATCGGCTTTTGCGTGCGGATGCTTGTGCTCAACACTACTCGTGTTCATCAACTTTTGTGATACTGATCAAGCACAATAAAGCAGAGCGAAACTGTGCTACAGCCCAATGGAGTGTGATTGTACTGAAACAGTGCCAAGCGTACTGCTTTTGCCGAGACCATTGCTGAAGTGCTCACTAGTGCTTCAAGGCACACGTGGACAAGCTGGGCGGAGGCGCGCACGGAGATTGAGAGGGGTTGGCCAGGCAATGACATTCAGGTTTCTGGTTTTAGAAGTTGCGTCATGGCACTGCCTGTGGCTGTAAACACAGGCTCCCCCTACAATCACAACTAGACTAAACCAAGCAAACCCAATACCTGACCTTTCCCAGAGCTTGGGGTTAAATGTTGAAGCATTGACAAATGCCTCTGAGCAACACAACCCAGGGGTAGGTATCCCGAAAACCCCACCGGTCGTATGTCGAGCAGATGGTGACGACGAAATTCTTCTTCGAGGAGGTTGCTTGGACAAAAACCCTACGGCACAGTGGCATCGCAGCCGAGACGCTTCTTCCGCGTACCTCAGCTGCGTGGAGCATCGGGGTTTGGGACTACCTGCAGAACTTTGTTGGGAGCATTTTGGGCTCGAGGGGATTCTGGGCGCTGGGCCCGGGAGAGGATAGTGCAGGGAACCCCCGCGCCAAAGGCCCTGACCTTGATCTCTGAGACCCAGCCCCGGGGTGCTGATGACATCAAAGGGCTCATGGACTTTCAGGTCTTCAAGTTGAAAGGTTGCCCACGGCAGCAGTCAGCTCTTGTTGCCCAGGTGGAGGCTGCAAGGGATGAACGAAGGAGACCACAATGCAAAGGCCACTGGAACAGTCCGATAGAGAGCTGGCGTCGTCAGCCCTCTGTGCCATTAGCGGTCAACGAGTAGCTAGCCTGCTGGACTGGACGATGATTTGCAAGCAAAGCTACAACACACACACAGATATATATATATATATATATATATGCATATGTATATACATGCACATGTGCAAACACAAGCATACAAACATGACAAACACAATGGCACGCACACAGAGTCTCTCTCTCTCTCTCTCTCACAAGCACATGCGTACTTGGAGCCCCTCGAATCGACAAGCCCACACCCCAACTAAACCCCAGACCCTTCCCAAAACCCTTTTGAACCTGGAAAACCCTAAACCCTAAACCCTAAACCCCAAACCCCAAACCCCAAACCCTAAACCCCAAACCCCAAACCCTAAACCCTAAACTTGTGAAGGCTTTCTTCATCATGAAGGTGGCGAGTCGAAGTCGTCTTGATATGGCACGGGAAACGACGCGTCCGCCTGCCCAGGGCCACAGGAGCCCCACTGAGCGATGCTGGTGCTTGGAGGAGGGACACGCTGTGGGTACCCTAAACCCTAAACCCTAAACCCTAAACCCTAAACCCTAAACCCTAAACCCTAAACCCTAAACCCTAAACCCTAAACCCTAAACCCTAAACCCTAAACCCTAAACCCTAACCCTAAAACCCTAAACCCTGATGCTTGCTTTGGATGTTGGAGCTTCTAAGCACGAATGAAACGTGTGCACGACTAAGAAAGACTGAGTCCCACATCCCAATATGAAGCCTGAAGCCCGAAGACCCCAACATTGGCAGCGCATAAATCTTTTCTTCTTAAGAGGATCACGCCGAGACCAAGACCGTGAGACTGCCGAGTGCACATTCGAGCTTGTTTCAACTTCTTTGCCGTGCTCTCGCTGTGAGACCCAAGCAGTTGACCGTCTAAAGCCTAAAAGGCTTTGGTGCAAGATGTAGAATCTATGAAGAGGCGTCAGATCATGCCAATTGCGCTGGCCTGTCAAAGCCACCTGCTCTTGACGCTCGAAGCCCAGAAACCACAAGCCGAAACCGCCAGCCAACTCAGGATTTTGTTTGCAGACGTGCCTTCGATGGGGCCCTAAAACCCCCTTTGAATCCTATGCTCGTCCTGCTCGGCACAGCTACATGTCGGGGTAGCTTCTCAAGCATACACGTTTGCAACACGGTCCAACTCAGTCTCCCGAACACCAAAACCGCGCTTGCACAGGCTATCGCCCTTGTCAAATCATCGTTCCTCCTATTTTAATTTGAAGCGCGCGAGAACCGGGGGATGGTTTAAATTCCTAGCGCTTGAGAAGCTGCCTCTCCTGCTTGCGCTCTTCGAGTGCAAGGGTGTTAACTTGGTGGTGGCATGTCGTGGCCCTATCCCTCCACAGAAAGAGGGCATGTGCATGCTCCTCTTCGCCTGCCAGTGAATGTGGCACTGGGAGATATGTGGCAAGTTGCTACGCTTGGCTATCTCGTCCAGGAAGGTTAGGCGTAGGGTTTTGGGTTTCGACGGCTTCGGGTTTGGAGTTTGGTTTCGGGTTCAGGATTGGCTTTGCGTGTCTGGACGGTGGGCCAGCTCCATGGGTGAGACAAGAGGTGAAACTGCAGATTCTCAGCTGTGGCTCATGTCTCCGAACCCTCAACCCTAAACCCCAAAGCCTAACATCCAGACCCGGACCCTACCCGAAACACCACCCTCAAAGCCCTCTGGTGCACGAGCCACCCATCCGGGCTTCCAGGTCTGCTATATTGTGCAGTCTGCTTGAGAATGTACCTGCTTTCGCAAGCTGCAAGCTGAGAATCTCTCTGCGATTGCTACCGTCACAATAAGCCTTTGACGGAGCCTCTCAGTACTTGAACCAGCGCCTTAGAAGCGGGAATCGAGAAGTAAGGAGTCGCTAGGAGAAAGCTTGCCGGAGGCAAGTCGTGAGGTGGTTTTTCGATCATCGGTTTTTGGAGCTGATTATTGAATTTCGGGGTCAGGGTTTAGGGTGCATGGCTTGCTGAGTTGGGCAAGTCGAGCAAGATTGCCGCTTTGGTAAAGTAATTGGCTCGGTAACCCCACACGCCGGCTACCTCTGAGAAATAAAGTAGATTCCATAGCCATGACACAGCCTTGGCTTTTGCGATCACGTGACTATCGCGTGATCGCCGGCTGTATCGCGGGCTAAAAAACGGAATGTTTCAAAAGAGAGGTAACCAAACACAGGAGTAACCGCAAGACTCGTATGATTTGGTGGCCACAGTTACCATTATACTTCCTTCCAAGCTGCCGTTCATTTGTGATGATGTCGTACTTCACTGAGTTCTGGGTGTCGCCTGTCAAATGCCCGGCTGCCACGAGTAAGATCGAGTCAAGCAAAAGAGATCAAGAATGTGGCGTTCAATCCGCGCCTACGCGTGGTCGCATGTAGAAAGGATCGGCCCGCGTCAGCTTATCCACCGCCGAATAGTGGTTGTTCCCCTTTGCAACGCCCTGGGCTTGAAGCGAACTTTTCGACTTCGATTGACCTTCCTTCTCCCTGAAATACGAGCTAACGACTTTATTTCGTCTTGGGTAGGGGTTGCAGGGCTAGGAAGCATCCGAACTATCTCCCTTGTCCTGGTAGCGATGCCACAGACTGAGACATTTCTGCGATGAAAGCCTGTCCACCCAACCCCTGAGCCTTAATTCGTCAGACCATGTCGCTTTGGGTTTAGGGTTTATGGTTTAAAGACACCACCCTGAACCCTCCCTTCGAGCATAAAGGACGTGCTCACAAACGTGGCTGGGCTGGAAACCCGCACCCGGAACCCAAAACCCCCGCGCCACCCTTTAACAAGCAAAGCCGCAAAGTCGAAGTTCTCCAGGCGGCTTACAGACAGGTGCTTCTGGGCGGCGGCATGCGCGCGGCCTATCAAACCGCACAGGTCTTAAGGGCTTGGGATGGGTTTAGGGTACTTCTTACCCAAGTATAACTGTACTTAGAACTGTACTTATACCCATATCAGGGCACTTAAGGGGCTTACAAGTGGGTTAGAAGTACAGGTAGAATTGGTGAAAGAAGTACCATGTAACCTCCAAGTATGGGTTTGGGATGCACCGTTGCGGCTCTCAGGTCTTCAACGTGTCCAAGGTTGACTGTCTATGGATAGGGTTGAGGGTTTAGGGTTTAGGGTTTAGGGTTCGGGGGTGAGGGTTGGGGTTCAGGTTTAGGACTTCCTTGTGCCCTCAACCCTGCAGCACGCTGTTGCAAGAGCCTGGCCACCTCTTTTCCCTTTTCGATTGCAGAGATTTCGCGACAGATGATGCGACTTAAACCGAGTAAGGGTTGAAGGGTGCAGTGTGCAACATGCCATGTGTGCTGAGATGGGTGCTGCGTAGTTTAGGCTACACAAAACTGGTAGCTCTGAGGGTTGATGAGGCAACCTAAGAAGCCATAGACATATAGGCGTGATGACCTTCTGGAGTATCTGGCTCTGACATCCCTTCCGCCCCTCTGCGCCTGCAGCTGTTCCGTCGATGGACCCCGAAAGAGTGTTGTAGGACATCCAGGGTGCGAAATGCGCACCTCGGGTGAAGGTATCGTTGTTCAGAGGCGGGTTGCCAAGCTGTAAATGTTTTGGCGGTTTGGCGTAAGAGCAAGGCGCATCTAGCCCGACTTCAACATCATGGCCGGTGCTAAAGGTTCTCGCTCGCCTCACACGTTAGCTGCGAAGAGGCATTGCTTCGCGGCCTTGTGACCCGCGCACGTGGCATCGACTGGTGTGTTCGTTTCTCTTTTTTCTGGGAAGAGGGGGGCAGGGGCATGGGGTGGCTGGGTGGGTGTTTGACTGTTTTGCCTCATGAGGACAGACAGTGAAGGAACCCCCCCCCCCCACGCCGCGCCCCCCTTCAGAAATATGACGGAACACACAAGAGGCACACTTGGCAACAACCCTAAACCCTCAACCCTAAACCCTAAACCCCAAGGGGCGTGTCATGGCGTGTCTTGCAAAAAGAAGGTCCGCCGTCCACGGCGCAACCGCCGAAATCCGCACACCAGGCCGTGGTTTTGGGAGACAAAGGTTGCTTAGGGTTTAGGGTTTAGGGTTTATTAAACCCAAAACCCAAAACCCTAAGCCCTGAACCCTGAACCCTGAACCCTAACAATGCCGATTGGGGGGAGGCTAGCTGGGGCTGAGGCGGCTTCAGGCTGAAAAAACCAAATCTGAAATTCAACACCCTCCATCCCAGCTCGAAGCCGAGACTCGTCCTCCTTACCTACATGTCTCGTTCAGAAGCCGCACAAAAGCCCTTGTTTTTGCAGCCACGTTGCTTTCGGTTTGGAGCTGCGAGACCTGACGAAGGAAGTCAGAGGCTCAAATTGGCGACAGGTTGGCGCTTAACATCTTTGAGCCCTCGGCCAAAAAAAACTCCCAAACACGGTCCTTTCAACGCCCTAAACCCTAAACCCTAAACCCTACACCCTAAACCCTAAACCCTAAACCCTGAGATCATTGGTGATACATCTCAAGGGCCCGCAGCCCGAGGATCCCACAACAGCCAGGGAGTCATCCGCCAATTTTCTGTTGCATGGTCCCTTAACTATAAAAAAAAACCCTAAAGGCCTAAAACCCTAAATCCATTCTACCCTAGAAACCCTATAACCCTTAACCCTACAAACCCTACAAACCCTATAACCCTACAAACCCTACAAACCCTACAAACCCTATAACCCTACAAACCCTACAAACTCTACAAACCCTACAAACCCTACAAACCCTACAAACCCTGCTACTTGGCCACCCTGAAGCCTGTGATGAAAAAGGTCGGCTTCCGAAAGTAGGGGTGCCTTATTGGGGTCCTCATTATAAGGAAATCCTGCTGTACCATTTGGGGCATTTAAAAAATATAATTTGGGGGTCCCCCTAAACCCTAAACCCTAAACCCTAAACCCTAAACCCTAAACCCCCAAATGGCTCCTGCCTCTTTCCGGGCATCGCCCCGCATGGACCGATCGAGCGACTGCTCCGGCGCGGTGAGGTGGAGGCTGGGGCCTTTTTGCTGGGCGGGGGGAGGGGGGGGGGGGGGGAGGGTAGGGCTTAGGGCTTAGGGTTCAGGGCTTAGGTTTAGGGTTTAGGGTTGGAGGGGGGGGGGGGTTGGGGGCTAAGGTTTCTGGGTGGCGTGAAGGTTGTTTTGGGAGGTCTAGGCCACCACTCCCCATAACGGCGCGAGGGTATGACGCCATGCGACATTGAGAAACAAACGGCATGAGGAGGCAGGTAGGTGAAGAACAGAAAGCCCTAAACCCTAGACCCTAAACCCTAAGAAATACAGAAAGCCAGAGAGAGAGAGAGAGAGGGAGAGAGTGTGTGTCCGTAGCCGGAACGACTGCGGCGTCGAGTCGGTTGAGCAAGTACTTCAAACAACCACGACCGACTGACTCCATAATATGAATAAAAAGGGGTGTAATGTAACTATTGTTATTAGTTATTATTCTTCTTATGATTATTTATATTAATACATTATTTAATAGTTGCTTGTTTCATGTATACACACACGTGTATATGTATATATATATATATTTATTTATTTATATTCATATTTACATTTTTTACTTATTTATGCATTGTAGTGCTGTTGCATTCTTCGAGGAATTTTTGCGCGGCCTTGACTAAGCCCACATCGACCCCGTGACGGAGGAGTGCGCAGGGGGCTCTCCCTTAAACCCTTATATCCGAAACGCGAAACCGTCTCATCAACTGGGGCTGAGGAGCAGGAGATGCTGTGCGTCGCTCTCTCCTCAGCAGGAACCAAGGGTTTTTGGCGGCCTCAAAGTGCGGTTAGAGGGTTTAAGGCAAGGAATATGCAGTCCTTTGGGCTGTTCTGCGCCAAACCCAAAATGTCCACAGGTTTAAAGTGGTGCATCCCGGTGTCGCCACGTCGAGCCATGAATTCGGCCTTACCGGCGGATTTGACCTTGGGCGGTGTTCCACGTCGAAACCTACATTAACAGCTGGACTGAATAGCCATGTCATGCTGAAATGGTGCTCGGTTTTTTGTCCTTGATGGCTCCTTATCTTGTTTGGGCGTGGTTCCCCGAAGAATGCGGTCAGAATAACAAGCCTGCAACTTTCAATCCCCAATCAAACCCTGCTTACAGGAGAAGGTACGAGGTTGACGAAAAGCTCCAGCTCGCAAATCTCCGGAAAACCCTAAACCCTAAACCCTAAACCCTAAGCGCTAAGCGCCAAGCCCAGAAAGTGCTGGTTTGGGTTTTTGCCCGGCCTCTGAATTAACTAGTTTCCGTCTCCTTCGGACATGCGATCAACCTTGGGATGTTCCCTTATACAAACAGTCCTTAATAGGGATTGGAGTGCCCCCTACTAGAATCCCGATTAAGGACTGTTAGTACAAGGGGGAACATCCGAAGATAAACCCGAGAATGCTACCGCACAAAGCCTCCTTCTTTGGGCGGCCAAAGACGCCTTCAGCTTCGCCTGCTCGTGCGCATACCTGCCAGGTGCTCTCTGCACGTCCAACCTACAGACCGTTCGGGGTCCGGGCCTCGTGTTCAGGAAAGCTTCAGCTATGGATGTGCCGAGTTGCAGTCGGGGTAAAGCTAAGACTGTTCTGTTGTCACCCCCTGCCCGCCCCACACGGTAAACCCTAAACCCTAAACCCTAAACCCTAAACCGTGCCTCGAATTGCTGATGGAGTAGCGCTTCCTCAACGCCGACGGCAGAGTTGAGAGCTTAGGATCTTATGGGTTCTACAAGCATTCGCATGAGCAGGGAATGTCTACCCGTGCCGTAATTTGGGATGTTCCCGCTTATGCAATCGGGACTATACTAGGGGGTACCATATTCCCTATTTAAGGACTGTTAGCATAAGGGGGAGCATCCCAACTGATAATACTCATATTGCCTTTGCTTAGCCCACGCCGACTGCTAGCTTTACAGAACCCTAGTGGGCTCCCAGCAAGAGGTGATGAATGAAAAGGCAATGAAAAGCGCGTTGCCTTCTGCGACTGCATGGACTCCACTTTGTTATATCATGTCACCCACGTATCCTGCATCCTAAGACCTGATGCTAAAGAACAACCTCAGTGAACCCCAGCTTCCCCCCTAAACCCTAAACCCTAAACCCTAAACCCGAAACCCATACAGGGAACAAAGCGCTCCTGGGTCCTTGAACCCACCGCCTCCGACCAAAAAAAAAGTGTGGCTGCTTCAAATTCCAGAGCCCTAAACCGTAGAAAGTCTGAGGGTTTATAAACCTAAACCCCAAACCCCATCTATACACCTTCTGGAGCAGAATTCCTGTCTTACTTGCAGTCTTTATTTCTGGATTCTGGGCGCAGGTACTCTTAGCCGAGTCACGGGATGGTATCGTCAAAGAGGGAGGCCGTTCGTGCCTTGAAGCCTTGGTAGGACCTGGGCAGGGCGCATGGGCCTCCACTCTAGCTGGCTTTGAGGGGCTTAGGGTTTAAAAGGTTAAGCTTTTTCTTGTTTAGGGTTTAGGGTTTTGAAGGGCTTCAGGATCCCCCCAAAAAGGGGCTCAATTTAAATGCCCGGGCTAAGCTTTTTCTTGTTTAGGGTTTAGGGTTTCAAAAGTGTTTCAGGATCCCCAAAAAAGGGGGCTTCAAGAAGCCGTGCTTTGAAGATTGAGGATACAGGCCTGCAGGGTTTAGGGTGCTTTTGTGCGCCTCCAGGCCCTTGGGGTGCCACATCCCTTGTGACTAGGGTTTGGGTTGAATTTAGGGTTTAGGGTTTAGGGTTTAGGGTTTAGGGTTTAGGGTTTAGGTTTAGGGTTTAGGGTTTTTTTTTTTTGCCACCCGCCTAGCTGACACTCAGGTCTAGGGTTTAGGGTTTAGGGTTTAGGGCAAAAAAATAGGGTTTAGGGTTTAGGGTTTAGGGTTTCGGGTTTAGGGTTTAGGGTTAAGGGTTGAGGGTTTAGGGTTGAGGGTTTTGGGTTTAGGGCATCGAGTCCGAGTATTCTTCTGATACCTAGCTCGCCCATACTTCGCCATGGGAGTTGTGATGCTGCCTCGCATGGAAAGGAGTTCGCTTCGAGTTCAAACACCCAGACTGCCCACCCCCTCAACTTCATGAGAGCGCACTTTCTCAAAGCCACACACGCAAACTAAGCACAGCACTCGCTATTCTCGATCTGTGCCAACTGGATCTCGGTCCTGACCAAACGGTTGGGGCACTACGAGGACGAAGCCGCCAGATAGGATCTAGGGAGCGATCCCAAACCCAAACCCGTTCCACAGAAGCAGCCAGTCTAGTGAGCACCCGAAGCAGGCTCGAAGGCTTCTGCACAGCCGTGGGGCAAGGGGCCAAACACGTGCCATGGTGATGGACGTATACCAGCCCAAAAAACCCTGTAAACCCTACACCCTGAACGATGTATAACCCGTAGCCCGAAAAACTTGCAGTCCTCCGCTGCGGCAAGAACTTCTCGCGCGGATGAGCATCCTCATAGGTCCCCCAAGGGCTTAGGACTCAAAGCAGCCCGAAGAGCCGGGTCAGTTCTAGCCGGCTGAGCCGAGGTTCGCAAAAGCACAAGGTCGTCATCCGCCCAACAAAGCCCCGTTAGCCACACAGCTCCCTTGTCCTGCAGCGTCATGCACTCTCTGATGTGCTGACCTTGGTTAGGACGAATTAGGTCGTCCTACATGTCCGAAGCTCGGCGAACATCGAAGTCCGGCATGGCCTATCAAGTTCGCTCTTTCGGCCATACTTCGAATCTGCAACCCAGAACTAAGCCATGACCCAGCGACGCTCATCCGGCGCAAACTTTCGGCGCCTCGCCCCAAAGAAGCCAGCTGTATGGCGACCTGGAAGCTTATGTTTGATAGATTGGGGGCTCTTCTACATCAGGAGCTCCTACCAGAAAGACCCAACAAGCTTCCGTGATTTAAAACAACCCGATGACTGGATTGCGGACAACATGAATCCGCCAATGTCTTTGGCAAGCTGGATGCAACTACACATGCCATTCTGGTGGCACATACTTGCTTGAACAAGCTGGCGACCTTGGCGCTCTAAGGTCCTATTTAAAGCACATTGCCCGGCCTTTCTTGTCAATGTAATGTTCGTCGTGGCGCAGATTTCGGAAGTAGATCTCATCCTTATCCTTGCAATGACACCCATATCGTTGTTATTGGGGCACTGCTGAGAGAGACGGCGGCATCTTGTTCCTCCATCTGTATGTGTAGGTACACCAACATGGAAAGACACTACCCTCCAGCCAAAACAGACTCTGACGCACTGCAGTCGAGATTGAGGGGATCTTGGGATCAACGCATGCAGCATCCAATTGCTAGGGTGCTTTCGGCTCAGACTAAAAGCTCACAAGGCTCTACCTGGCTTAGCACCTTCCGTGTATTCCTTTCGTTTTGTGGCACCGCTGCATATCATCCTGCAAGAAGCACCAACTGTCAATTGCCACACCCCGAATCCCTGCAGTCAAGCGGCTTTGTTGCCTGACTCAACCGCACGCCAGTGGGACCGACAAAGGACACATGAACCGCCACTTAGAGTAGGGCCAGACATCAAAGAGTTCAACTCTGCAAGCTGAGGGTTCAGGGTTTGGGGTTTAGGGAGAGCTTCCCAAAGCAGCAAAACATGCATACACACGCTGCTCAGCACATCTTGAAGACCGATTTCTGTGCGGTATGAACTACCACCCAGGCAGCGAGCTTCTTCTTCATGAGGCGCTGTTGCCCTTGAAAGAAACCAGTAGCTCCGAATAATTGGAATGCCAAGCAGCTGAGGATGTTGTAGCCTGCAGCACGCTAAAACGGGAGTGGAGGGGGGGGGGGGCCTTGCTGCAAGAGGGCTGGGGTTAGGGTTGAGGGTTTAGGGTTTAGGTTTTTTTTTGGTTTTTAGGCGACTCAGGGGTCTTAATTAGTCAGGGGGATTCAAGTTTGTAGGGTTGCGCATTCTCGGATCCATTGTGTAGGGGATCCGAAGTATAGGCCTTTAATTTGGGCCCCTTGGTATCATAATCCGATTATGCCCTACATATAATAAGGCGTTACGCTGCTAGACATCCCCCCAAAAGGGCCGTCAACTTCAGCCCCGATGACGCACCGTTCCTAAACCCTCCTGAACCCTGAACCCTGAACCCTGAACCCTGAACCCTGAACCCTGAACCCTGAACCCTGAACCCTAAACCCTAAACCCTAAACCCTAAACCCTAAACCCTAAACCCTAAACCCTAAACCCTAGCCTTGCACCCTGGGCTCTATCCCCAAACCGAGCTACTCATCCAATCCTCTTTGCCGAGGCGCTGTGGCCGCCTAACCGCGCAGCCAGAGCCTGCTCGCATCATAGGGTTTGGAGGGTTTAGGGTTTAGGGTTTAGGGCTTGGAGGGTTTAGGGTTTAGGGCTTAGGGTGATTGAGGGGGTACAGAGGGTGTCGTGCTTGAAGATTTCGGGGGATCCGCCTAGCTGAAATCGAAACGCCACTCCAGCGAGAGTCGAGACTGTCGGGCGAAAAACCGGAAAACAAGGTCAGAAACCAACTCTGAGCCCTTACAGCCCAAGAGTAGTTTTGTAGTACATGCCAGGATCCGACCCAACTTCTCCCCCCTCCACATACCAAGATATTAGCTACCCGGTATACCTCATTAAACTTTTCAATGTCAAGCCAGATTCCGCCCCTAGTCCCTACAAGCCCCGTGAACACTGAGACAACCTCAATTCCCAAGCCCGGAACATGATTTCCTGGCCAGCCTTGTCTGCGGCGGTTCCGCACCCCTGATGATTGTCGTAGAAATTGTAGCTGCCCTCCACAACGCCTTGGCTGCTGGGCTGCTGGAGCTTCTGGTAAGGTTTGTTTAGCCCCGAAGGTCGTATTGATGGAATCAATGCTGCCAGCCCCCACTCCCTCCCCCCCGGCTTCGTCGAAATTAAATTTTTGTTTTTACAACACCCTAGCTTTCCGTGAAAATTGTGTAGGATTTGGTTCTCACAGTCTGAAACTCAGGCCGCGAGACAATATGAGCCAAGAAACTCCAATCACCGATAATGAAGGCATATCCCTTTAGACTAGAAAGGCACCGTATTGATTCCAGAAATGTTTTGGAGTCACACAGATAGAACACAAAAGGGCTGTACCAGAGCCCAAGCCCCGAAATCAGGTTTCCACCCTAAACCCTAAACCCTAAACCCTAAATTGACTTAAGGTGATCAGACTTCCGACCTCGGATGGCAACTTGAACCCCACATTGCTTGCTCCATGTTCAGGCGCCTGTTTTGCATCCTAAACGAGAGGAGCCCGTTGGACAAAAACGATACGACATGCAAAGAGACCCGAATTTTCTCAACAACCTCCACATGAAACCCGAGAGTTTGGGGCTGAAGAGTTTCCCAAACGAGCGGAAAAGCCCCAATTCTGCAAGGGCCAGGCCGCGCTTGTGCAGCGCATCGTTTCGGACGCTTGCCATACCTCCACCGCCTCGTCCTCCGAGGCCCGCTTTTTTTGACGTTCTTAAGGCTCTTTGGGCTTGGGGTCTATGTTGGGTTTCGGGGGGGGGGGGGGGGGAGGCGGCGGGGGGGGGGGGGTCGTTCACTTCTTCAATCTTCATTGCCTTCTGCTTTCATGCGAAATGTTCGGTTGCCAGAACTCTTCCTGCGACCAGAGGTGGCCTGCGACTTTTACAGCACAGGGGGGGTCGCCAAGTGTCCCGCGCTACATTCCTCAAGCCGAGGATGTCAAGCTTGAACCTAGTGCCTTTTAGTGAGACAAGCATGCGATGCTTTTTCAGAGCTGAGAAAACGCAACCTTGAAGCCCCAAACCCTTTGAAGCCCAAGATTGAAAGCAATCGATACCCCAGCAGCTTTAACACACGCGTGAAGCCCGCATCTAACCCCTGGAGGCCCGGGGCCCAGGAGTCCCTTTTTAAAGATTGCCAGTTCTAAGGGAACTCTGTGAAGCCAAAGCGCTTCGGCGGCCCAGTCTGGTGCCCTAGCCACGATGACTCTAACCCCGCTGCCGAGCCGAAATGCGCCACCGCGGCCCAGGCTTAGGAATTTCAGGGATCTCGGGGTGGAAGCTGCAGGGGCTTCGAGAGTTCAGGGGCGTTGAACTTGGGCGTCCCCTAATGGTTACTCAATACCCTTGACCCTACAGCCCAAACCCATCATGTCTTGCCCTCAACACCGAAGCCCCACAGTCTGAGGTCTTGCTTGTAACTCAAAAATAACTCAAAGATGTCGCAGCCTCTCAACAACCAAGGCTGGCTTAGCAGGTTGAGGGGTTGAGGGCTTCAGCAATTCAGGCGGTTGGGTGCCCTGGCTTTAGGCTGTATTTAGGCTTCTGGGATTAGGGATTTACCTAAACCCTAGAACCTAAACCCTACAAAGCTTAGTTGAGGGGTGTCCTGAGGGGCGCCGAAAGTTCCCAAGAGGTGCCAGGAAGCCTTGTGGTTCATCCCAGAATCTTCTTTCGGGTTTAGGGAGATCGGACTTAGAACCTTTAAGAAATGACACGCTTTTGGTTTTAGTTTAACATTCCCGTGGGTTTTTGATAGAAACCAAAAAGTGAATTAGCCATTTTGGAATTCCAGGGGGACCCAACCTGATTCCCAAATTCGTGAACCAATGTGCTTGTTGTTCACCACCTGCCTTGTGGACTTGGGACTACAGGCTTGTAAAGCTTGTGGCCTTGCTTAAGGCCCTACAATCCCAGGTGCAGGCCAGGCCTCCATATACTGCGTCGACGCATTCTGAAACATGCTGTCGCTGGTGTTCAGCGACGTTATGGTGTAGATGGTGTCCTGGGCCGTTCAATGACTTAATCCTCGGGTGATACATGTTGAGGCTGCGTCGGGCCGATGTGTGCGTAGGGCTGCAATCGCGCCACAAAAACGGCCTTGGAACTTGCAGCACTAAACCCGCAAAGGCCCACTTCCGGCTACAGCAAAGTCGCTGGCTCCGCCACAAAGCTGAACGCACCAGTCATGGGGTTCACAGGTAGCGGCGGACGCCTCGCAACAAGACCAGGGGCCAAAAGGCTTTTGCCAACGGACCCTACCCCATTCCTTGTCCCTTGAAAGGGTAATGTCTAGGGGTGAGTGCAGTACTCAGTAGGGCTGCGGACCGTAGGTCTTCTACGAGTTGTTGGCGGTTTCCACCTGGAACGGTCTCGTTGTGAGGAGCGCACAACATTCATCAAAGCATTGCCTCAGCGGTCTGTGGGAAACATTATTGCAAGGGCTTGCACCAGAACTGCTCCTTAACAGGAGATGCAAGTCCCGACTTCGTTCTACATTCCACGCATCCTGCATGCCCTGAAAACTCATGGTCGCAGTTGGCCTCACAAGCTTGTGGGTCTTGTTCGTCAACCAGATTTCGAGACCGACAAGCGGTGCCTCAGGAGGCATATTCGTACCGGTGCCTCAGGAGGCATATTCCTACCCTTAGACCCTGCTTGGAGCGCAAACTACCGCACGACATGCTCTTACCCTCAAGCCCACAAAAAGCGAACCACAGGCAAAAACAACCGGAAGAGGGTTTCACCCCAAGAGAACTGTGGCAGTATAAAGGTTCTTTCCAGCCGTACGTGCAACGTCTTCACACTCTCCCTGCTTTCTAGCCCTAAACCTCAAAGCCCTGTTCAAAAGGCTCTGCAGGCGTGAGTCCATCGAGATGTTGCTTGAGTTTCCTCTGCAGAAGGCTCTTCGCAAGCGAAGCTCTGTGGAGGCTTAAAGCTCTGCTTCTGGCAGGGTTTTGGGTTCTGGGTTGACCCTCGAGCTCAACCTTAAGCATGTAGCTACTTGCTTCCGCCAAGAACACCCATAGCTTCGACCCTGAAGAGAAGGCCCAGGGCTCTGTGTACGGAGGCCCTTTTGACTTCAGCGTTTATAGGGTGCTCATGATCGTTGGGCCTCTGCTAACTGAAGGCCTGCTGGGGTCTCAAGATCCTTCTGAGGGGTGTGGCAGTGGCACTTCGATCCCTCAAAACTCATCTCAACGCGGAAGCCGAAGCCTTAAAACAACACTTTGGGCTTTCGGGTTTTGAAACTTTTTACAGCCCAATGTTTCACGACCCCAAAACCCCGAAACCCTGAAACCCCAAAACCCTAGAAGCATAAAACCCTCAACCCTTCCAAAACCCGACAATGGGGAGGAATTCAGCCAGAGCTCCCGGGACTCGCTTTGAAGCTCATGGAAGTTCATGGGTAGGAGTAGGGGCACAAGTAGAGTAAAGAAGGCTCTGTAGTTCATTAGCTTACATAAAGCTCACTTCTAACTGCCCATGAACCTCCGAATGTTCATGCCCAGCCGGCCTTGGGGATCGTCAGCCTTAGCTCCAGTCATGCTGGGTTTTCAGGTCGGGCCGTTGGGTTTGAAGGGTTTCCGGCAAAGGGTGTTAACTTGCGGCCGAGCTCTGCAGAGACTCACATCCCCATGCCGACACACCCTCCAAACCCCACGCCCCAACCAACCCCTCGAGCCCTGGCAACGCACGAGAGAAAAAACAGACTTACGCAAAAGCTGAAACCAAGGCACATCCATGGTGAGGTTGTCACCTATTGGCGAGCTCACGGCACACAGCGTCGGAGATCAGTCAATGGTTTCTGGACATCCAGCCAACAAAACAGCAAACCGCTTGGGTGAACACAGCGCAGACAGAGGACAAACGTAAAGAAACACTGTTGCAACAGGCTTCAGTACAGCAACGCTTTGTTGACGGCTTCAATCGTGCAGAAACACTTCTGCGACAGGCTTCAAGGAGCGCACCGCACAGAGACACGAAACCCGGAACCACCACCTCAACATCCCAGCATCTGGCGGGGGCTCTCATAGGCCATAGGCTAGGCCTGACTGGTCGAGTTCTTTTGATGACTCCAGCCCGAGCCCCCGCGGTTTAGGGTTTAGGGTTTAGGGTTTAGGGTTTAGGGTTTAGGGTTTAGGGTTTAGGGTTTAGGGTTTAGGGTTTAGGGTTTAGGGTTTAGGGTTTAGGGTTTAGGCGGCGATGGAATGCCGGAAGCCCAAGACCTAAACAACTCTAAACCCTCTCTGGAAGCCCCACTCCCAGCATGCTAGGATGGCTTGGGCAAGCAGGAACAGGACTGCTGTAAGAGGACTACCTCCCTCAGTTGTTACTATTAAGCTTCTTCCAGTGGTTCGGGTCTGATTCACAGGGCTCTCACCCGCCCTCAGACAAGGGTCACAACTCACTGTCGGCTCTGGCGACATCCCTCAAATACAACTCATCTGAGCGGCTAGGTGCTGAATCGTTTCCGTCGCTCTCCTGACAAGGCACGGCTATGAACAATGGCTACGCCTATTTGCAAGCTGACAGCTAGCTGAACACTGAAACGTAGACCATATTATAAAGACAAATCCTCCACTAGCTTTCTCGCAGGTCGCGCTGCTGGAGCATGCAATGTTTCTATCCCCAGCCGTCGGCCTCGGAGCTTTCGTTCCCAGGCTCGGCCGCAACGGACCTGACTGCGCGATTTAAGGGTGATGTAAAGTATGGCTCATGCCCAAGAACTGTTGCTTCGTTGCGTGCACTCTACCATGACAGCGAGCTACAATGACCAGGGACATTTCAAATCCGGAACGCCGCTCCCATCCTACATGCGGACTCCAACTCTCAACTGCGAGGTGCGCCTAAACCCTAAACCCAAGGTACAGGCCAATCCCGAAACTTGGCGCACAGAAGCGAGTTTGTTTGGGCAGCATGAAATACTGGCTTATGCAAGTCCCTAGTCCCTAGTGTCGATATTATGCCGCCTGTCTGTTGGACACTCAGGACACTGCAGAGCACAATCCGGTAATGCCTTTTGCTGCAGGGTGTTTAGGGCACAGTGCGAGTCCTACAGCCCTAGTTCCGAGGTGTAGGGTATCGCTCTTTTGCCATGCGGTGCACAAAGGCTCGCCAGCGTCTGCAATCTACATGCTGAGCCGACGTTGACAGAAATGGGGCCTAAACCGTACAAATGCTGAACCTTGAAACTGAAGGTTCTGTCTGGCAGTCTCACAACTTCCGGGGTGAGGGGGTTGAATAGGGTTTAGGGGCGAAGCTGCCTTTAAATTCGAAGGCCCCCCGAAAGCCATAAAACCCAATGGGGGTTGAAGGGCTTAAAGCTAGTGGCTTGGCGGTGGAAGGGTCCCAGTGCTTTCTGGACTAGAGTGTTTAGGAGGTTGACAAAGTCAAGTCAAACAAGTTGCATGCGCGCAGGCAGCCGGGCGCAGGTTGTGTTAGAGCTGCGAGAGCACATGCTGCTTAACGTCTTACCGTGAAAGACTTACGTACTCCCCCTTGTGGCCTCCGGGCCTCTTGCACACCCCCTAACCCCAAAGAAAACCCAATCAGCTGTACACCTGGTACAAGTACCTGGTACAGAAGCTGGAGTCACTCATGTTTCGGCTGCAATCTTAATCACGAAGTCTCTCAGAGAATGCGATGCCCCTTCAGAAAGAAATTCTTAAATCACATTGCGGATTAAGGCTTACTCGTTCAATCCTTTTTGGGTACCTAGGTCTGTCAACCGCCGGGCAGTAGTCAAAACCAGTAAACCCGAGCTTATTTGAGGAGAATCGGAAACTTCAACTTTCACCCCTTTTCTACTAGTTGCTAAGAACCCCCCCCAATTTGTTGTTGTGGGGTTCTGAAGCAGATCAAAACCCTAAACCCTAAACCCTAAACCCCAATTTGTTTTTGCCTGGCCTTCGAAGACCGGTTTGGGACACGTCGGCTCAGCGCTGTCCGTCGCAGCTAGAAGTGGCCGTCAGCATTGAACAGCTATTACAAGAGCCCCCAAACTCCAAACTCTCCAAAGAATGAGCAAGTGGACTTAGGGCTCAGGGTTTAGGATTTTTTGGTGCTCCTGCGGATCAGGGTTCGGCCCTCAACCGAACCTTCACCTAAGAAACCCGACCATGTCCCCTTGAACTACTCGTACCAGCGCAACGCACGCAGACTCATGAAACCCTGATGCAACGACTGACTCTCCACTCGAGTGAGTATGTGCCAATGTGGGCTGTCCAGTCTTACAGTTCATGGGCGCGTTTGACATACACTCTGCAAGAGGACGGCCGCGCAAAACCCTGTAATGTCAGCTTATATTGTTCTTACTCCAAAGGCCCTTTGAAGCCCACACCTTCCCATACCCCCCCCCAACAAACAAAGACACGACCCTTAAGGGTGTAGGGTTGATAATCGGGCTTAAGGTGATTGACTTTAAATCCTTTTCAGCCCTGCTCCCAAATACATCGAATGCAGTCACCTAAACCCTAAACCCTAAACCCTAAACCCTAAACCCTAAACCCTAAACCCTAAACCCTAAACCCTAAACCCTAGACCCTAAAGGGGCTCGGCAACTGGCCCGTGGCCGGGAGGGTTTCTCTCCCATGGAACTGCCCACCACGCCTTGCGGGTCTGGATCGCTGTTGCGGAAGTTTTGAGAATCCGAAACTCACTACTTTGCATCCTAAACGCTTGCCCCCTAAACCCTAAACCCTAAACCCTAAACCCCAAACCCTAAGCCCTAAACCCTAAGCCCTAAGCCCTTTCGCAACTAAACCCTAAACCCTGAGCCCTTTTGCAACAGGCCTCCTGGCCACTGCCTGCCTCGCCCTGAGCCCTGAACCCTGAACCCTAAACCTTCCTGCACCGGGGATCTCTACACATCTTGGAGGGAGGTGCCGTTTGCGCAACAGCCATCCAGCATCCTCTGCGCTTGCGCCTGCAATGGAACAAGATGGTAGGGTTTATAGGGTTTAGGGTTTATAGGGTTGAGGGTTTAGGGTTCAGGGTTTAGGGTTGGCTTAGGGTTTAGGGCCCTACGTGTTAAGGGCAGGCCGCATCTGCACAGGATGCAGCAGCGCTTCGAAACTGCTTGGGTGATGAGGTTGGGCAAGGAAATGCCCTTGGAACCTCTGCGCGTCTGCATTTCCTTGCTTTTGCACACTTTGCACCCAAATGGGTTTAACGGTTTAACATGTGCTTGCCGCCGCTTGAAGGTGTTCATCTACATTATATATCTGTGGTCTACCTCGGTAATATGAACTGAAGCCTGGCAAGCACTAAGTACTGTTTGGCTGCTCCAACGTTGGGAATGAGCCAGGTCCTCCTCGAAGACGGCAGCGGTGTCTCTGTACACAGATGCCACAGGGGCCATCTTACAGCACTTAGGCAGATCTTCATCGACGACTGTCCCCGTTTAGCATTCCCCGGCCTTTTTTTGTGTTACTTACATCCACTGCAACCACAATTAGGCTGGATCCCGAACAAGAGCACCCTAAGAGCACCCCAAGACCGCCACAGGGAGCCCAAACCGCCAAGAGTTTCAACAAAAACGTGACATGCTGATCCCATCGAATGGACGGCGAACTCATCCGACAAGGAAAGTCTGTCCCCGCTGCGTGTTCGTGACACGAAGAGAGCGCAGGGGAGAGCGAAGGGAGGATGTAGGCGAGAGCACAAATTGTCACGTCGGGCGAGGCCAAAACATCTGGGTTTTGACTATGAAGCCTGCGATCCTCACGCCCTCGACTAAGAACCTCACCTGCGCCACCACCCAGAGAATCAAGAAAGTGCTCCCTAATCCCACCCTAAACCCTAAACCCTAAACCCTAAACCCTAAACCCTAAACCCTAAACCCTAATCCCGAAGCGAAGCCCGCGCCTGGGAGCCCCGCGCGACCAAACGCCGCTTCAACCCAATCCGACGACATCCGCTTTCGCATGGTTGAAAGTTGGAACCCCCCTTGGGAACCCAGTGGACCCAAAAAAGGGTTTAGGGTTTACGGTTCATATACCTTTAGAGGAATTCTAGGAGCATAGCGTATATGGGCCCAATTTTTGGGTTCATTTGGTATCCAAGGCCATAGTGTGTGTGTGTGCCTCCTCCAAGAAAAGCTCCACATCAGTGGCTTATGCATGTCCAGTAGCAACCCAACCAAGCTCCAAACTCAACACCCCAAACCCTAAACCCTTTTTGCAACTGGACTCCTTGACCCGAAACCCCAAACCCTAAACCCCAAACCCTAAACCCTAAACCCCAAACCCTAAACCCTAACCCTTAGTTTCTCCATGGATCTGCCGCGACGGTTGGTTGAAATTAAAACCGCCGGTGGGGCTGGAGCATCAAACTCGGCGGGTTCCATGTCCTTCCCCACCCACGAAGGTAGGGTTTAGGGTTGAGGGTTTAGGGCTTAGGGTTTGGGGTGTTGTAAGCCTATGGCGAGTGTGGTTGATAGCGAATGGCGGAAGCGAAGGAGCCGAAACCCGCAGCATTCTTTGTGGCTGGGTGCAGCACCCCGGGGCAAGCATTGATGGGCAGTGCCAGTTCTGTAGCGATTGAACTTTGCCGCTCGTGGCCATGGTTGTCAATCAGTGCAACCTGTACAGGGAAACAGAGACAAGCAAACCATAAGCCGACCATGGGCAAGGGCATGCGGATCCACTGCCCTAATCACTGCACAGGCTGAGCACCCCAAACAATGCAGTGTACCCTGCCTCAGTTGACTCCCAGTTCGATCAAACACATCCCAACAGTACGAAGCGAACTCGTGACCGAATCCCATTGAAACCAGAGCTATCAACATTGCGGACTTCTCCTCGGCATTCAAGTGAGCAAACATGTGTTGTTTCATTCTAAGCGTTAAGAGGGTGATGGACCCAGGCTGCGTTTTAATAATCACACAAGGCTTGTCCTGAAAATGGAAGCTAAGCAGTTGAACCAAGCACTCCGACATCCACCCGATCATCGGCCGTCCCCCGTGCCTCGAGCGGAGTGACTGCAGCTCTACTGCACCTCAATTTGGCTCGTCAGGGCCCTTGCGCTCTGGGTGTTGCGGCGTGTTGCGGCACCAAGTGGTCTTGTTGTCTGAGGGGCTGAGGGAGGATGAGGGTTCAGCATCATTGGCAGATAGAATGCTGCAGTACCGGCTCATGCTGGCTCTGCCTCCCATGGCGTACCGCAGAGTATAACTAAGCCTGCAGAGATCATCAACAACTGTACCGACAATCCTGACCCTCCATGCGAACACAAGTGAGCCAAAGCAAGGTTCCAGCCTCCAAAGTAATAAGAATAACTGGGCGCAAGGGCCCCAGCCCCAAGCCCTAAACAAACCTGTTAATCCCGAACTCTTCGACTTCCGAGCAGCCACATCTAGGTCCAGCCAGTCTTTCTTGATGCCTCGGTGCCGACTCTGGTATTGGGGGAACAGTCTAATTTACAGCCCTTTCAGCGCGAAGCCCTAAACTCCCCAAACCCCACGAAACCTCGATGCCCCTTTATGGCAACCTAGAAACCTAGACCGGAAGAGAGGCGGGGCTTCGAACGTCCGTGTTCGCATCTTGGGGTTTCGTGCTTTCGGTGGCCTCTGAAAAGTGTCTTGGGTTTGATCTACATTACGGATCCTCTTTTGGGGCCTCTGTTACACAGCACGCGCCGTGTAGGGACTGGCACAAGCGAGAACATCTTTCCGAGCAAGTGTTGCCTCTTGCCGGCGAATTTCGCGGCGAGTTTTTATACCTCTTCGACGGAGCTATGTACCTTCTCGACGTTGCTGTACCTCGCTGACGTCTTTGGAGGATTGCCGGTGCCAGTTTCGACTGGATGGCTTCGGGGTTTCCCAAACCCTGAACCCTAAACCCTAACACCCTACACCCTAAACCCTAAACCCTAACACCCTACACCCCAAACCCTAAGGTATGCCGGCCACGTTATAAGGGGCATTGGTGCATTGGTCTCTTCGAGGAATTGCAAGACTGGCGGCTCAATGCAAGGACGTTCTGAAACACAGCATGGTTTAGGGTTTAGGGTTTAGGGTTTGGGGTTTGGGGTTTAGGGTTTAGGGTTTAGGGTTTCGGGTTTAGGCATATCGATGTGTCAGTCAAGGTGAGGCTTTCGCGCCCATGCCCGACCAAAATTAACTCTGGCACAAGGCTTGGGTCAAGTCAGTTTGGGGGGATGCACTACTGAATCTTTTCAGCGAAGGCTGGGAGGTGGCTGCTGGATTTGAGTTTGGAGCTCGATTTCCCGTAGTAACAGTTGGGGCTGCTTCATGAAGCTGTATGGTGAGCCCTGAATTCTGCAGCCAGCTGGGTTCACATGTAGTGAGCGCCGGCTTGAACCGGACAATTTGCCAAAGGTGGTTGTAAGGTTTTGTGGCCTAAGCTGTGCAGGCTTTCCCGTGTCGATCAGTTTTTATTCTGCGTTGTCACTGTCCTCTTGAGGCGTGGTGCAGAACCAGAACACTTGGGCCCGGCAACAGTAGGATCGAAACCGCGCCTACCTACTTCCCTGAGCCATTGTTGTGTAAGAACGAGACAAGTGCTAGCTGTAAACCCCACAGCCCTTGCCGAGTAAAGTTTGGCTTGTCTGACACACCATCCTGCTAGGTTAACCCCAACGAGGGGAAAAAGACACATGTATACTGTATGTATATATATATATAAATACATAGTACATGTGTAATACATATACAATACAAATATAGAGAGAGAGAGAGGGAGGGAGAGAGAGAGAGAGAGGGAGAGCGAGAACCAACAAAAACATAAATAAACACACACACACACACACAAATAATCAAAAACAATAAACAAACAAAGGAATATATATATATATATATGTAGTTATATAGTTATATTTCTATTTATAATTATCTGTATTTACATGTACACTTTCTTCTACATTGATTTGAGTGTAGGCTCAAGCTCCCGAGGTCCTACATTGAAGTCAGGGTGCGGCCACTGAGACCAGACAGCGGCTCATCAGCCTCATTTCGAAGACTGTTTGGGTTTAGGGTTTAGGGTTTAGGGTCTAGGGTCTAGGGTCTAGGGTTTAGGAGCTTCCAGCGCAGACCAGGTGGCAGAAAACTCAAGTCCACGCCCTGCAAGTCCTGTACCGGAACCCTGAACTGCTACCAATGCCTCAAGAATGCCAGGGCGCGCTCAAGGCATCGACAGTTTGAACCCACAGGAACAGACCCTCCCCCCCCCCCCCCCCCCCCAAATCTTCATCTCTGTACAAGTCGCACGCTTGGATTCCGAAACCTTCGACCCTGAACCCTACGATCCCTCCAAGGCTTAAGGGGGCAAACCCTTTCAGAGCCTTAGTAAGGAAGAATCGATTTTTTTCGGGGTTCTTAAGCAAGTAGTAGTCGTGTGCCAGGCGACATGGATCCATCCATCCTTCTCCGATGACTCGTCGAGAAGGACGAAGCCACCGACCCCGACTTCCTCGGGTTTGGGGGGGGGGATTGTTGCTGGTTTAGGGGTTTAGGGGTTTAGGGGTTTAGGGGTTTAGGGGTGTTGAAGCTCCTGGCCTCGCATCATGGCCTGATGCCTCCGGTATTTTCTGTATTGCCATGGGCTCATATCGGAAACTGTTTTTTGTCTCCAAAACGTTGTTGTGTCTGCACGCTGCTTCATTGCTTCAGGAACCGTTTGGCTCTGCATCAAACCCAACCCGAAAGCAGAAACAGTCCCAAAGGCTCACACTGTTTATTCGCAATTGACCGTGCCACAAAACAAGGGGTTTGGGGGTGTAGGGGTGTAGGGGTTTAGTTTGGTTTTGAGGGTTCATAGGGTTACTGGGGGGCTAGGGGGTTTGGGGGCCTTAGGGCTTAGACCCCGCTAGGCCGACAGACTCTTAAAGGCTAACCGCCGTGCTTCTGTTGGGTCCCTGAGGCCCCCGACACGATCCCATACCCAAGGCTTGGCGAGCATAGGCATAAGTAAGAGCCAAAGCTTAAAGCTGGACATTCAATATAAAGGCTTACATAAGAAGCAAAGAGCGGACTGCAGCTGATAACGAAGCCCTTGTCAGCCAACAATCCAGAAAAAAAAACAACCCTAAACCCTAAACCTTAAACCCTAAACCCTAACCCTGAACCCTAAACCCTAAACCCTGATATTGGTTGGGAGGCCAGCTGGTCCGGCAATTGGATCAGCGAGGGGCTGTGCAGAACCTCGGCCAAACGGGTGTGACGGCCGAGTCACCCTGAAACCCTGCACACCGAAACCTTCTCACCTTCTGGGCTCTAGCTTCGTATTGAGCTCGACCGCAAGAGAGAACCCAAGAATCCAAAGCTGAGGACAGGAAACACTCTTAGAACGTACAGCGCCAGCTTGCACCAGTAACATGTCAACTGCCGCGAGCGATGGCTTACACAGCAGCCCGAATCAAGCACGCCATACCCAACAAGATGTACACCCCGCTCTCCCTCACTGTCGATCTCTTACTCTCGTTTCTTGCGTATTGTTTAGTTCTTGTTTTGGTTGATTGCTGCATTTCGTGATTTCCTGTGCACACACACACACACACATATATATATATATATATATGCGTGTGTGTATGTATGTATGTATGTATGTATGTATGTATGTATGTATGTTTGTTTGTTTGTTTGTATGTTTGTATGTTTGTATGTATACGTATGTATGTATACGTACGGGGTGAGAGAAAGAGAGAGAAAGAGAGAGAAAGAGAGAGAAAGAGAGAGAAAGAGAGAGAAAGAGAGAGAAAGAGAGAGAAAGAGAGAGAACGGGGGAGAAAGAAAGAGAAAGAGAGAGAAAGAAAGAGAAAGAGAGAGAAAGAAAGAGAAAGAGAGAAAGAGAGAAAGAAAGAGAGAAAGAGAGAAAGAGAAAGAGAGAAAGAGAGAAAGAGAGAAAGAGAGAAAGAGAGAAAGAGAGAAAGAGAGAAAGAGAGAAAGAGAGAAAGAGAGAAAGAGAGAAAGAGAGAAAGAGAGAAAGAGAGAAAAAGAGAAAGAGAGAGCGAAGGGCGGAAAATAAAAAGATAGAGAAAGAGAGAGAGAGAGAGAGAAAAAAAAAAAAGAGAAAGAGAAAGAGAGAGAGAGAGAGGGCGAGAAAGAGAAAGAGAGAGAGAAAGAGAGAGAGAGGGGGAGAGAGAGAGAGAGAGAGAAAAAAAAAGAGAGAGAAATAAAGAGAAACAAAGAGAAAGAGAGAGAAATAGAGAGAGAAAGGGAAAGAAAGTGAGAGAAAGAGAGAAAGAGAGGAAGAAAGAAAGCGAGAAAGCGATTAAGAGAGAAAGAGAGAGAAAGAGAGGGCTGAAGGTGCTGGTTTTAGGGTTCAGGGTTTAAGGTTTGGGGTGTCGCTGTTTCCTTGTGACGTTCGTTCTGTCTTTCGCTGTTTCTCTCTCTCTCTCTCTCTACTCTCCCTCTCTCTTCTTCTCTCTTCTTCTTTCTTCTTCTCTCTTCTTCTCTCTTCTTCTCTCTTCTTCTCTCTTCTTCTTCTTCTTCTTCTTCTTCTACAGGGCTTGGGGGACCCCGCGCGCACAGGGGGGCGCCCAGTACCTCAGTGCGTCCAGTGGGTGAAATTTTGGGCCAGCGTTCACCGCCGTCTGGGCATCCCCCGCTCCACCCCTTAGTTCCCTCTCTCTCTCTCTCTCTCTGAGGAAGCTTGTGAACCCTAGGTACAGTCACACCTGAACATCCCGGATTCCACGAACCCAGTGGTCCTTAGGTTCTAGTGCCCCCAAAGCCCAGAAACCCCTCAAGGATCTCCGTCCTGGAGCGGGTCTCGAAGTAATCTGTACACCCGTAACTGTCGGGGAGGCTCCTACGTGCTTAAGAGGCAGCAACCTTCATTTTGGAGGTGCGAGGTTCTGCTGGGTTTCGTCGGTTTCTGGGGTGGTTCAAGTCCCTCGAAACCTTTCCGAGCCTGTGGTTCCAAGGCATTGAATCTGGAACGCGCGGAGCCCTAAGACCTACGTGAAGTAGGACTTTTGTTGCTAGCATTGGCAAAGGAACACCCCGTATATACACTCACCAAACAAAACAATATAAACCCTAATTCGCGCGCGGGGGTTCATCTACATTATGGTCCGCTTTTGTGCCCGATAGCGAAGAGGATTTAGTATTATACACACACACTCACATTCACATTCTCACACACACACACAACAGTTGGATCCCCCCCATATGCTGAGGCATAAACCTTTGCCCACACGTAGCCCGGGAATGCAGTCTCGAGGAGATGTGCCTCAGCGGGAATGGAACAAAGCCACAAGCTTTTCTTGTTGATCCAGGGCTCCGTCTTTGGTTGGTTAAACGTTTTATTTTAGAGCCTACTCTAAACCTTGAGCCCTTGCAAACAGCTGTTATTCGCTGCGCTATAGCAGCAAGCCTTCCAAGCATCTCGTGTGAGCTCCGGCCGTGTGGCGGGACGGCTTTGCTTGCGCAGCCGCAGTGCTGAAGACAAAACATGCGCACCCCCTTGACTGCACATACCCTACATCTCAAGCCGCCAGGGAAGGTGGGGTTAGGATCCTGTATCAGATCCTTAAACCCGAGGCCCTTTTACAGCGGGCTTTCGCCCTCAACCCGAACCCAAGAAACCGACTGCAGGGTGCGGGGGGGGGGGGGTGGGGTCCTGAAGGCCCTTAGGGTGGGGGAATGCCAAAAATTAAAACTGGCCCTAAACCCTAAACCCTAAGCCCTAAACCCTAAACCCTAAACCCTGAAGTCCGCTTTGCTGGGAGTGTGAGAGCAAGGAGCCGACGGGCCGTGTCACTGAGGCATTGATGGCTTTGGCAGGGAAGACTACCCAAGAGCCAAGGGAACTTGTGTGCACTCTGCCCCTGAAAGTCAGGCAGACATATCAACAGCAATCCGCATCTGCCCTAGGGCTTAGGCTTCGTGGCCTTCAGGGACCTTCGGTCCACGGCGACACTTCGAGCAAGAAGAAAGCCCAGAGCACCTAGAACTGCTGCACTTGGCATTTTTACGCCCCCAAAGCACCAACCTTATTCTCTCATGGAGCCCAAAGCCTACTGGTGGATCCCATCCTCCTCCCTCTTGCAACCCATGCGGCCGGGAGATATCCCCAGCAGTTCGGATCGTCCAGCAGTTCGACGTAGGCCATGTTGCCACTGGCTTTGCTGGGCCTAGTTTTGTTGGGCACCCCTAAACCCTAAACCCTAAACCCTCAACCCTCAGCCCTTAACCCCGCGGCAAAATTTCGAAGTCAGGAGGGGGGAGTTGGGGTGGGGAGGCCTGAGAAGAAATTCTTGTTGAGAGGGTGCTCTCGTGAGCTCTGAACCACCCCCTCAGCAGCGTAAGCAAACAGCACGCCAAAAGAATTATCAGAATTACACTTCGGGAAGCCATGCGCTTCGCATCTTGAGGAGGCTACGTCTAGTTTGTCCCCGCCCCTCCCTCCCCTAAAACTAGAAGAAGAAATGAACTGTATTCTGAGGCATGAGATCAGGGGATGGATGAAAAACCGGCAAGGCCCCACCAACTCTACACTGTCATGGTTCCGCTCGGTCGAGGGTTCTTTGAAATATGTAGGGTGCCGAATGTTCGCGCGGTGCTCTCCACCGGTAGGAGAAAATCTAAGCAACAAATTCGGGCTTCGGGCTCAGGGTGTAGGTTTGGTTTCAGCTGTTTTGTTCAGTGTCGGACCATGAATGCTTTCTGGGGAAGCTCGGAGGCGTCGGGACATGGACCTCGGACCCCTAAACCCTAAACCCTAAACCCTAAACCCTAAACCCTAAACCCTAAACCGAGCCACCATGTGCGCACGAATGCTCCCTCTTCGATGTGGAGCCCGCTGTCTCCGTCGTGATGGCAGCTGCAGCACATTGCCAGAAGCCTTCGGTTCAGGTTCGGACCCTAAACCCTAAACCCTAAACCCTAAACCCTAAACCCTAAACCCTAAACCCTAAACCCTACAGACCCCCTCTTTCCATGCCTAAACATCCTACACTCCCTGTTTTAAGCCAGGCCTGCCGAGGCTCCGGCCGCATGCCCTAAATCCCCTAAACCTTCGAACCAAACCACATCACATACGAAAGCCCAATCCCACATGGCGTCCTATGCTACTACTGGGTCATTTCTATGAACCCTTTAAGGGGACCTACTTTGTGGATCCACCCAGGGGTCTGGGTACCAGACCAACCGCCGAGTCCGCCAGCCTATATTGCAGTGCCAGAAACACACCCTAAACCCTAAACCCTAAACCCTATTCCAAGATCAGCCTGAGAAGCATGTCGGGCAAGGGGAGGTCCTCTGAGCGATCTTCGGGATCAACGCGGTCCTCCCAACTCTCCTGCAGTTGATTATTACGGTTTGCTTAAGAACCCCCCCAAAAAAAAGATAAATAATAAATATAAATATATATATATATAACTTCTCTATAAGGGTACAACAGGGACGTTACATTTTTTCTTTGGGGGTTCTTAAGCAAACAGTAGATTCAGGTTTCGGCTTCAGGACTGAGGGTAAAGCTGCATCCTGGGGTCCTGGGGGTTTAGGGTTTAGGGTTTAGGGTTTAGGGTTTAGGGCAGCTGTGCTGATTGGATGTGTGTTCCAAACCCTTCTTCCATCTGGGCTGGGTGGGGAATGCCAGCAAATAAAAGCAGGTGTGCTTGCACAGCCACCCTAAAACCCTGAACCTCCTGAACCCTAAACCCTGAACCCTAAACCCTGAACCTCCTGAACCCCAAAACCCCGAAAGAACTTTATAAGGAGCTCACCGAGCTAACTCTCGAACAGGCGAAGAGGTACTTATTGTGAGAACCCGCATACAGGAGCCGTGCCCCGCTCTTCCTCCTAAATGGCCTGTACCCAGACCCCTGGGAGGATCAAACAAGTAGAACCCCAAAATAGTGCCCTGTACTACGAGTGGGTCATTCTTAGGAACCCTTTGGGAGATCTACTTTTTGGATCCTTCCGGGGGTCTGGGTAAACGCTGGGTACCAAAATGCCCGAAACGGGAAAGCCACGAGAGAAGCCTCGAAAACGCCTTTGACATTTGAAGAGAGCCCAGCTACGGGATATTTTTCTGGGCCACTTTTTGATTTTCTGAGTGAAGCAAGGCATAGCCGCAGTTCTTTCGAGCTCCAACCAACCCCATGGCCTCTAAAACCCAAACCTATCTTTTCGATAGTTCAAACGTTACTGTTCGGCCTTCTTGCGTGTCTTTACATGTCTTTCTCGCTGGCATTTCATCTGCAGTTTGCAGTCGACAGTAAAGGCATCACGCATCAGAATTGCAGACTCCCAGTTGGGTGTGCAGGATTTTCGTCCGCGCCCTGTGCGGCAAGTTATTCAGCACAGCAGGGCTTGATTCATTAGGGGCTGTGCAGACAATGGGCCATCAAGCCTACAGACCACAGAACTCCAAACCGTAAACCCCCTAAGCCTTTGCTCTCAATAGCTTCACTCCCAACTTCCCTGTTTTTCATGCCCAAGGTACAGGCACCAGCTGGTTGGGCAAGGGTTCTTCCACCTGCGAGGGAAACCGAAGCCCTCAACCTGACATGGTTTGCGGTTGTCGCAGTTCTCGACACCTCCATCTAGGGGCTATAGTTGAATGGGTTTCTCGCTTCGTGCTAGAATCTTACAGGGGTTGGCTGAGCCCAGGCCCCTAGCGCAACAAAGCTTTATCAATAGCAGCTGAAGAGAAAGATGCCGGAAGGAGACCCTGCGCCGAAACCCTAAACCCTGGAACCCTAAACCCTAAACCCCAACAAACCTAAACCCTCGCCTCCAAAACCCACCCGGCCTGGTGGGGCAGCAGCTCCCCAACTTGCACATCCTTGAAGGGAACATCTGGGGGGGGGGGGGGGGGGGGGTTGAGGGTTTTCATCTGAAAGGGTGATCGTATTATTTTCGGGAATGTAGACATGTAGGGGCTAGATGTGATGTTGAGGTTTCGGGTTGGCTTTGGCTTCTAAAGGGTTTTAGCGTTTTTAGGTCCAGGGACAAGGTCTTTTGTTGCATCCGGCCTGGCATCTGCTGGGCCAGCCAGGCCTTTTGCATCCAGGCCTTTGATCAGCTTCATATTCCTAAACCTGTAAGCCCCTGAATGCTCACATGCTCCAAACTCTGACGCCTGACCGCTACATCGCCACAAGCCTCGGAGGCTCAGCAGAAGGAGATTAAGAGAAATGCACAGAAAGCCGCTGACATTCCCACAAATCCAGGTCCCTTTTCTTGCTCAGGCCATGCCGATACTCTGATGACGAAGCCCTGGAACAAGTCCGTGTGAGTTTGGACGGAACCCCCCAAAACCCATCCCTGGCAAGTGCCAATGAATGCGAACCCAGGTCCTCTATGATAGCAGAGCACGGCTGCTGTCCTTGGCAGCATGGGGGGGGGCTTAAAGAAGGCTTTCCTCGCTGCTTGATCGTATACAGTTATGTTGCATAAGAGCCCCAAAAAACCTGGGGCAAAGCAAACCCCAAAACCCTCGAAGTACCCATCATGATGACTGCATGGGCTTTCATTTCTGGGTACTGCAGCCTCAGCATAAACATGAAATGCCAAAGCACCACAGCAACGAGAAGGACGGAGAACGCCTACAAAGATGTGTCAGCTTGCTGCGAATCTGGAGCTTCCCTTGTCTCTGTAGGCGTTAGGGTTTAGGGTTTAGGGTTTAGTAGAGGATGCTTAGAATGTGCTCTTCCCTCCTTTGCAGCTGCGCTTCGGAGGCTCGGGGTCTCAAAGGCATGGCCGAACTCAGCTTCGTGCACCTGCGCAAGTGCCCAGGAGGTCTTAGGGAATCCTATGTGAAGCTTTACAGCACCAAGCCACGCAAACCCAAAAGCGACACAGACCTTGAATATAGGATATCATGTTCGGGCTCCTATAAACTTCGGGGCTCCTCAAGCGACATGTGGCGGGAGCTAGGCATGCTGGAAAGTTTAGTCTCCATGAGCGTTTTCGCGCCTCGCGTATCCGGCGTCATGTCACCCAATGTCACCAAAGCAAGCAATGCGGTCTGTGGATGAATGATCCAAACTTGCCTCAATTGAGTAACTTGTTTGCGGCAGCTCTCAGGACAGCAATTGCCAGTGACGGTGCTTACAATCCTTGCAAGTCTCCAGCACTTAGGGCTCAAGGGCCAGGATGCCACGAACCCTGGTGTTCTGGGCTTGCTGAAGCTGAAGGCCCTGGGTGTCTAGGGAAACGGGTTGCCCCTTGACCCTAAACCCTTTTTGACCTGGAAGCTGCTTCATACCAGGACTGAGGAACCCTAAACCCTGAACCCTAAACCCTAATCCCAAGGGTTTGCTTGAGCATGTTGGGTGTTCAATGGTGGTCGCTCTCAGTCGGCTGGCCTGCTCGAACTCATCATCTTCACCGGTGTCCTGCCAAGGTCTGTCGCAAAGTTGAGGTAGATTCTGACTCCACACCCAAAAAACCCTGACCCAGGTGTGGTTGGCACCCTTCTGTTGGTTGAAGATTATGACTCCCTCGTTTTGCAGTTGGGTTTTATGGGTGGAGTTCAGGGAAGCGCCCGCCTCCGAGCAAGTCACGCCCGAACCCAGCCGCATCCCCAAACCAAAACTTGAGAACTTTAACCCCAAGCTCATAAATGGACACAACGACAAACTCTCCCTCTCTGCCTCCCTCCCTCCCTCCCTCCCTCCCTCCCTCCCTCCCTCCCTCCCTTCTTCTTCTTCTTCTTCTGCTGGGCTTAGGGACCCGAAGGCCCCCGCGTGGGCGCGCCTGAATCCCGTCTCAAGTGAAACTGTGACAGACGCGAGAGGGGTGTTCCCCACCACCACCACCGCCACCACCATACCAGTCCTTAGTGTACCTTCCTTAGCAACCCAGCACATCCCAAAAACGACTTCCCCCCTCAGAGGCATTGCTCTTCGCATCTCTGTTACTATCCCTCTCCATTGCTTGGGGTGTTCCCTGCAACGTAGATGTCTTTGGGGTCCTTCCCTCCATTCAACCCTCCCAAAACCTCTCTCTCTCTCTCTCTCTCTCTCTCTTTTGTACTCAGTCCAGTAGTCGGATGCATCATCCTCAGGGCCATATACCCAAAGCGACCAGTCAGGCGCAGCTTCAGAGCACCCTTTCGGAGGTCTCGCAGGGAGGCGGACAAATCCCCGCATATCCGCCGAGGCCTTGGGCCGTAGGTGTCTGGGTAGCACAAAGCAGGCACCCCGCCTCTAATGGACCAGGTTGCAGAAGCGCAGGCCGAGGCGGGTCGCGCAGCGTTGAATTAAACCCCCCTACCCCCTACGATTTAAGATTCCCATGATAGTTCAATTCTAGTATATGGGGGGTAACGACTTAATTTTAGGGTGGGTAGGGGGATTTGCTCCAGAGCTGTGCTTGCGGAGCGCAGCGCAAAGTCCCTCAACAGGCCCCTTCTCTCGCCAAGAGTTGGATGCAGAAAGGTGAGAAGCAATCCTGATGCACGCCACAAGCTTTTCAGCTGAAGTGCTGTGCAGCCACACCCCAAATCCTAAACCCTCCAGGCCCTCAAGGCCCTCAAACAGCCCTATAAGCCCTAGGCAACCTTAACAAAACAAGCGGCGCACCTGCGCACGCTTCGCGGCCCGACGTCGAGCTCGCCTGGCGTTGCGCGCCTGGGCCTCGGCTTTCAAGGTCAGGCCCGATCTCACCTTCCCAGTTGCGCAAGGTCGTTCCAACGATTTTGCATTTGGGAGTTCAAGTTTATCCTACTATTTTTATTTGGTTATTCAGTATTCAGGCATTTTGGGGCTGCGAAGATACTGCGGAATATGCCGACGTGCTACGTCGCCTTGCCGAATTACTTGCTGTGAATGAGGGATCCTAAGTAGGGCTAAGGGGTCATCAGTCGGTTCGCTCGTTGAGGGACCTTGTCACGACGCAACGTTTGTAAGGCATGGGGCCTCGATGGCTTCGATGCCCTTGCAATGCGTAGGGACTTTGTTTTAGGGCTTAGGGAATAAAAGGGTTTAGGGCTATCTCAAAAATGCAGCTGGAATTGAGGCGCACAAACAGGCAAAGGAAGAAAAGTCAGTTGGTTGTTGCAAAAGACAGGTCTTTTGACCTGTGTAAGAAATAGCGAAGTTTTGCACAGTACATTGCATTCAGAAGTCGGACAATGTTTTGGAAGGGTATGGCCTTTGAGCTGAGACATGATTGGCGGACTCTCGAATTTAGGACCTGGCTTTGCTCGGCGCTGCGCTTTCTTCGAAAGTGGGGTCTTTGCAGTGGGGCTCTCCAAACCCTGAGTGCAGAAAATATGGAGTTTAGGGTTTGGGGTTTAGGGTTTAGGGTTTAGGGTTTAGGGGACACTCTTGCCTTGCTTACCGTCCAACGGAGGTTCAGCATCACACGTCTTCGTGATGTCTTCTCGTGACTTGGGCTTTGCCGCTGCAATACGAAGGGCACGGTCATCCCGTACCGTAATATCAATTACCCCCTGCCCCCCTCATATTAAATACTCCCATCGTAGTCATATTAGAGTGTATAGGGAATATTTAATTTTCGGGGGGATGGGGGTGTGTTGTATTTCCATTGCCACCCGCCAAGAGGGGTTTTATCTAGGGGGGAGTACTTCCCATTCCATACCCTATGACGTCTTCAGCGTCTTCTGCGTGTCGTCGGCCTGCCCCTCCCTCCGTCTCTAGGTCTTCCTTCTCCGACTCTATATTTATTTTGCCGAAGGGCTAGGTGCTCTAATCAGGCTATCACGTGAGAACACACCTGCAAGAGAGGCGCACAATTCAATCTCAATGTTACCCCCACAAATGATAGAAAACACTAGGTAGTTAAAGTAGAGATTGCCCAAAATACCCCAATCGAACAGAATAGGCCTCTGCATGAACGTGCATTCCGTTTCTTCTCTGATGCTCCAGTTCCCCGCTGACTCCACGCGTTTCGCAGCGGCAAGTCTTGCTACAGAACCACTATAGGGCCTAGTATAGGGTTTGGAGTTTAGGGCTTATACTGCTTTTCTAGGTCCAGGCTTCGAGTGACCATACAATACTACATCCCGTAGCCTCTTGGGGGCGCCAGTTCTTGGCTTGCTCTCTCTAGGCCTGAGCTACTCCGAGCTCCAGCCTGAAACCCTTTGTCAATCGGATCTTTCTGAGCCCTTTTTTGCAGCCGGTTTCTGAGCCCTAAACCCCAAACACTTTTAGAGGAGCCGAGAAAAATCCACTGTTGGAAGAGACTTCCGTTCGCCTTTGAGTCCGAGCAGCTGTGGTCAGCTCGGACACTTCCTGTTCCTGCGGGCAGAGACTTGGAGGGAGGGACTGGGTCGCTCACCCACTGGCGAGCTTCTCCCCAACCCGAACTATAAACATCTATAACAATCACAAACCCTCATAACATGTAACTTATAATTCCAGTGATAATACGCCCTCCATGTTTGCCACAGGCAAGACCTTCTTCATCTTGAGGAGCCACGGACGTCGGGAGGTCGAGTCCATACAACAGAAGCAAGGGGAAAAGGGACAGCTTCTCATATGGGCTCTGAAGGCTTAGGTCGCGTAATATTAGGGGCCTTAATGATTAGAATAGGGTCTTGGGGGTTACTATAGTATATTTGTCAAGGGACCATAGGGGAATACGATTAGTAATGATTCCGACCCCTGTATTGTCCCGCACGTGGCTTTAGGGGGGCTTAGTCAGTCTTTCGAGGCGGAATTTTAGGCCTCTTCATTAGCAGGCCAAGTGTGGGATTCTGCACTTCGCAGTAGACTCCGGGCTGCGCTCCTGCGGCCTACATGCTTTCGCACTGGAATCTCTGAACCTGGAGAATCTAGACAGTTAGGGCAGGTGACTTCCTCTGCAGACGCACTAAAAAGCGGGTCCTTGGCTTGCTTCGATGCCTGGTGGCCAGGTGGGGGAAAAAACTCATTCAAAGGTTCTGATGCCCTTTCAAGCCTGAAGAAGCTGCACCGATGTGGCCATCTAAACTACCTCACGATCGGCCTCCAGGTGTTCGCAAAGATCGCAAAGACAGTCCCGGCTACTCTCCATGCTTAGCAGCACATTGGCGAAACCCTAAACCCTAAACCCTAAATACCGAGCCCTGTTGGGTTCCCC